GCTTGACGCTCACCAAAATGACACTTCTTTGCGTTTAAAACGAAACCAGCTTGTTTGACGCAATCTAGAACAACTGCCAAGTCGATGGTTGTACTCGTGGAATGTCTTGCCAAAAATAATTACATCATCGAGATAACACATACATAACTCTCATTTGAGACCGCGAAGGATAGAGTCCATGAATCGCTCGAAGGTAGCTGGAGCATTGCATAAGCCAAACGGCATAACGTTGAATTCAAATAACCCATCAGGCGTGACAAAAGCAGTCTTCTCTTCGTCAGACGGATGGATTGGTATTCGCCAGTATCCAGACCTTAGGTCGACGGACGAAAAGTATGCAGCCGAGCGCAGGCAATCAACAGCATCGTCGATGCATGGTAGCAGATACACGTCTTTCTTTGTGACAGCGTTGAGACAGCAGTAGTCTACACAAAATTATGAACAGTTGTCTTTCTTTTTTACCAATATAACAGGAGCTGCCCAAGGACTGCTTGACTCTTGAATAACGCCTTTCTGCAGCATGTCGTTGACTTGATCGGCGATCACTTGCCTCTCTGACGGGGATACGCGATAGGGTTTCCGGCGTATCGGTGTAGCATCTCCCGTGTTGATGCGGTGGTGCATACGGGATACGGGCAACATGAAACAGCGCTTGTTTTGAGCGAAATCAAAGACTCCCGCGTAGCGTGTTAGCACCTCCTCAAGGACATTCTGCTCGGAAGAAGGCAACGACTTATTGATCATACGTTTAATCTCGGCTGAGTAGTTGGGCGCAGTCTGACTGATGGCTGGAGACTCTGAGACCATTCTGATGTCAATTGTGGCCTGCTCCTCGAACGTTCCCAGTTTGAATCCGGCTGGTAGAACAACAGGCTCTGAGGCAGCGTTGAGCGCCCACAAGCAAGCATGTCCGTCGATGGCTGTAAGGACAGACCATGGGACGAGCACATTCTTTATGGCGTTTGCATGATCAGGCTCCACAAGTCCAATGCAGGGTCCTGAGTGGACATGAGAAGAGCATACGGGTACAAACTCTGCTGTCCGACCAGGGATCATCACATCTTCAGACAACGAAAGCGCATCGATGGGCAGAGTCGGAAAATCGTCAACTATTGCAGCAGGCAACGTACTTTGTAGAAAAATCTCTCCAGTTTCACAGTCAAGCGTAGCGCCGCATTCATGAAGGAGGTCTATCCCTAAAATGATGTCATGGGTTGCGCGAGCCAGTACAGTGAATTCAACTAGAAAATTTTGTCCACCAATCGTGAGTACAACTGAACAAATACCAACAGGGCATAATGCTTTGCCTCCAACTCCACGAAAAGTTTCTTTGCGATTCCGCGCGAACATAACTTTGTGACCCAAGAAACGATGTTTGAAACGAAGGCTCATAACCGAAACAGCAGCACCAGTGTCTACAAGAGCAAGAGTATCTACACCGTCTATACACACACGCACTTTGTTCATCAACATCGCAGCAAAAGGAGGAATTGGGGAAACTGACCGTCCCGGGACCACACCTCCATAGGTCGCACCAGTTAGTTTCCCAGTTGATGCGGGGAAGGTGACCGACGACGCGGAGACGGCGACCGGCGAGATTGTGTCGGAGGCGGTGTCATGGCTTCGCTCGGAGGCGGGGGACTCGCTGCGAAATTCGTTAGGGCCATTGCTGTTAGGGACGGTGGTTGGCTAGGTGAGAGGTCCAGGTTTCGTGCATACGAGGTGGGTGCGTCCAAAAATGTGGAGGCACAGGCGTTTCGTACATACGAGCCGGATATGTCGAAAAACGTGGCAGTGCAGGCGACCGTCTGGGACAGAAGCGCGAAATATGCCCTGGGAGACCACATGTGTAGCAAACGGGGACTTGTCGACTTACATTAGCAGGAGCAGAGGTGGCAAAAGTACGCGGACAGGTCGTGCTCAGCAGGAACATTTTGTGATGACGCATAATCTTCTGGTAGAGATGGCCTGGTTGACGACGGTCGGAGGTCCGCAGCGGCCTGTCGAGATGATGACATCCGGCTGTGGTCAGCGACCCGTCGGGGAAAATGGAAGCCGCGGGGTAAAATCTGCAGTTTCTGTGCGCGGTCGGTTTTCGACGTGGCGCTCACGCATCCAGTAGGAAAGTGGTTCGGGGCACACGGCGAACGAGCATTGGTGGTGAACGTCACCTGCTTGAAGTCGTACGAGCTCTTCTCGAACTACCCGACGTAGGAGGAAGGGAATGTCTTCGCAGGTGGCGACGTCCCTACTTGCGACAGTAACATTGTCCAAGCGCCCGAACCTGAGTAAAATTCTCCGCGTCTTCAACGCCTCGAATGTGCGACACTGCTGCCTGAAAATCGAAGGAGTGTTGAAGTTTTCTTTTGTTATCAAAAAATTGTACATGTCCTCAGCGATGCCTTTTAACACACGAGCGATTTTGTCTTCGTCAGACATATTTGCGTTGGACAATCCCGCAAAGCTTCTATACTTCTTCAATGTAGGTTGTGCACGTGTCTCCGGGCAACTGAGCCCTACGTGACAGCGTTTGCTCAACTTTCTTTTTCATGGAACTCGTGTCCCCAAAGCAGGCCTTCAGTTCCTTAACAAATATATCCCAAGTGGGGAGGACATGTTCATGGTTCTCAAACCAAAGCAAGGCTGTCCCGGCAAGGAAGAATACCACGTTCTTGAGCTTTGCCAGTGCGCCCCATTCGTAGTAGCGGCTCACTCTGTCGAAGTGTTTTAGCCAAGCGTCCACGTCTTCATCAGTTTTACCTGAGAATATTCGTGGCTCAGGTGCCCAGTAGTCTGGTTGTCGAGGTCGACGGCCACCTTGTGCCGTGTCGGTGGCACTGCTGGATGCAGCAGCGTAGTACGTCAATGGGATTGCTGTGTCGTCGTTCATGCTGATGTTGTCACCGGGGGTAGGCCAGCTAAGCGTCTGCTTCTTCGAAGAACTTCTGCTGCGGGGTCCAGGATGGCAAGTTACCCAGCACCGCTCCACCAAAGCTGTTACGGATGTGATGGGTTTATTTACACTGAAAAATGTCAGTGCTCTACCGTCTCTGTCGAATCACCATCGCTTGAGAGCGTCCGTTTCTCTTCTTATTCCTCGCTCTTTCAGTCCGCGTTACAATATATATATATATGAATGACGGTGGCAGCGAGGATGACAGCAAAAACGAGCCAAGACTGACCATATAATTGCTATCCCAATAAAAGCAAAGCTGAACATCATCAACGGTCACACCATCCACGCACGCATGGTGTCGAAAACAAAGAGCGAACGACACAGACCGCGGAAAACTATTCCCTAAAGCGCCCGCCATATGCAGCGCGGTTCCACATCTGTGACGCTATCTAAATGTGTGGCACTGCCAATGCAAAAGTAGTTTGTTCTTCTTTTTGTTTTCTTTTTGGTTTGGAGGGAAAAGGGCACATGCGCAAAGGCCTGCGTCACACTCACCCGTGTGCAATCACAAGCGCTCGCTCTCGCCTGGTACGCCGTGCGCGGCGCCGCTGCTTCGTGCTTTGGCGGCGGCTGGGCACTAGCGAAAGATGCATGCTCGTACCAAAATCTAAGCCAAAATTCCTAGGTTGTCCAATGTGAAAATTCGTTATATCAAGGTTGTCTCCTTCTGTTGCTTTGTTGCATAGAAGTCACAAATACATGTGCTTCTAGAGCAATGGCGGGAGTAGAAAAACTTCATTATATTAAGGAATTCGATATACTGAGGTTCGCTATAAGCAGGTTTAACTGTATTCAGCAATGACCCATGGCCATTAATCTCGCTCTGGACATCAATGCATTGATGGAAAGGTCATGCAGGTCCATTATGCCGTAAGGGCAGCAACAATAGGTGGGGCTGGCTTGCAGAGCGGGCGGTGACCAATACTTGCCACCTGGCCAAGCAGAAGGGATGCGCTGGAAGAACATACACATATTATGTGCACACTAACAACTGTTATAGGTTGACACTTAAAACATGCTGCTCAAACAAAAAAGAGGGCGCACAAAGTGAACGCAAAAGTATACACAGGGTGAACGCAAACTAAAATTGTCAGTGTTGTAGCTGCTTTGTGTGTGTGAGGGGCACGCTTGTTTTGCAAGGGCGGCTGTTGCAGTAGGTGAATTTACCTTCGTGCTCTCTGTAAATCTGATAAAAACATGTGGTGAGAGCACATGATGTACTATTAGCGACAAATAAACCCCAAACACCAGCAAGCCTTTGCAGTGGTATAGTGTGCACTGCACAGTAATCTGTGATCGATAGGCGTGCGCATCCTGTTCAACAGCTCTGTGGACATACGCATGCCTGTCCATGGTGATAAGTGGGCAGGTGCGCACTATACCGTCACAAAAGCTTGCCGCTATTTGGGTTTCATTTCACACTAATAGTACCAAGTGCCCCAATCACGAGATAAGCATGTGTGCATCGCACTGTGTGGTGCGATCATCATTAAAGCATGTCCTTTGAGCCTGTCATGCCATCTTACCAGTGATAAGGAAAACAGGCTGAAATCACCGAGATCAGTAGTGCTAATGGTGTATATGAATAGATTGCTGTCAGTACTCTGAAGATCATTCTCTTTGTGACCGGGCTGTTTTATAATGTTAGCTGTAGAGCAAGGTGTTGTAGGTTCGACTTCCGGCATGGAACTTGTTTTTCTCTCTATTTCTCTTTTTTTGCTTGCCATTTATTGGTGTATATTTCACAACTTCGAATCCGTGACAGAAATAAGTCATTGGAAGCTGTGGTGGACTGTGGCGTAAAACACTTTTGTGTTAAAATAAAGGAACACATGTCAGCACACCTAAGTAGGGATATACTGCCCCACATTGGCCACAATGCCCTTGTGAAATTTACACCCCATGCAATCTTAGAGACTTGAGTTAGATGTAAGAATCTCAGCTGACGCTGTTTCTTTGTCTATGCTCATTGAGAAATCTACTGAGGTTTCCAAACAGTTTTATCTCGGGTGGCATTAAGGTCAAGCTATGTACTGAAATGCAGGCACGAGATGCTACACTTTGTACAAATGGTCCAGTCGTACGTGGGCAGCCAAGTCATGCAGGCATCACTTGCAGAGCTACGTACCGAACTCAACAGGAAGGCACAGTCTGTTGACGACCTCCGCAATGCCCACTTAGCCTTCCTCAAGCATCTCAGTCAGCGGTGAGAATTGAGTTGTGTTTCTTTGCTACTCACTGGTCTGCATGTTTACTTTTATATTGTTACGTTCTCAGGTAAAGATTGTCCTGGAGTGTACTCGAAGTGCTGGCCTGGTTCTTAATGCAATGAAGTGTCGTTCTGGTGCGCAACAAACATTGGTGCTTGGACGCTTCGTCAACAAGGATAGCATCAAGCCCGACTCAAATAAGACAGAGGCTGTTAGAGCCTTTAAACCACCTCGCTCAACAAAGGAGCTTCGGAGCTTCTTAGGCCTCTGCTCATATTTTCGCTGATATATTCCCGCATTTGCTGAAGCTTGCCTTTTCTCTGACCTGTCTTCTCCGCCAAGGTGCTAGTTTTGAATGGACTGCTGATTACGAATTTTCCTTCTAGCAACTGAAGTTCTTGCTCACGTTGCAGCCTATACATTTACTTCGGCACTTCGATCCTTCTGCGGTGACTGAAGTTACACTGACGCAAGCGGGATCAGCATAGGTGCAGTCCTGGTACAACAATATAATCAAAAGGAACAAGTGATCGCATATGCCAGTCACACACTCATCTTCGCTGTGCAGCGATTCCGCTCATACCTGTATGGTCATTCTTTTCAAGTAGTTACAGATCACCTATTCTTTGTGCTGGCTTGTCAACCTTCGGGATTCGTCAGGCCATCTTGCACCGTGGGCTCTCCAGTTGCAAGAATACGACTTCACGATATTCTACGAGAGCGGCAGGAAACACGCTGTAGCATACTGCCTTTCGAGGATGCCGCTTGATACGACAGTTTGCGACGCTGACAATTTCAATCATCTCATTGCGTCCGTGGCACCAAGGTTCCCAGATAAAGACACCTTCGAAACTGATCTGCGGAAATACATGAGCTTGAATTCATTATTCGTCCTTGCACGAGCATCCACTCTGGAAGGCCGGTTTTGCGTATGTGATGGCTTATTGTACGAGAAAACCATCGCCGGCGCTGGTGCCCGTTTGCTGCTGATGGTTCCAGAGGCACTATGTTCATCTGTGTTGCGTGCCATGCATGACGATGCCACCTTCAGGTCATTTGTGAACAATGCGCACTCTTCATCGTACACAGGAACGCTTTTAATGGCCACGCATGCGCCAGTATGTTGAGTTGTACGTGGCCAGTTGTGCCCGATGACAGACGCATAAATCTCTCTCATGAGCTCCAGCCGGACATCTACAGCCTCTGATACTCCCAGTTCTCCGTTTGAACAAATTGGCATTGACTTGATGGGCCCTTTTTCGCTCTATGTGCTGACCATCTTACTCAGTACTGCGAAACGGCCACCCTGCCATCCGCGACTGCTGGTCAAGTGTCGTCCTTCCTTCTTCAGTTCATCATAGTACCTCGTGGACCTTTCCACGTCATCATAAGTGACCGTGGATGTCAATTTACGGCTGATGTCGAGCAACTTCTCCGTACATGTGGCTCGGAACTCATAGATTTGAAGCCTTATCAGCCGCAGACCAACGGCCTCACCGAGCCAACAATTTGAACAGTGGTGAACATGCTTACGATGTATGTTGCTTCAAATCACAAGAAGCGGGACCACGTCTTCCCGTTTGTCACGTACGCCTTTAATACTGCCCAACTTGGGACCACCGGCTACAACCCGTTCTTTCTCCTTTATGCTCGACCCCCACGTTATACTCTGGATACGATATTTTCTTTTTTTGACTATGATGCTACATCTCTAGCAGAAACTCTTCGTCTCGCTGAAGAAGCTCGCAACCTTGCCTGTTTACGCACAATAGCCTCACAAGACAGATCAAAAATTCGTTATGACAGCAAGCACCACCAAGTCCGGGAGACCTCGTGCTGGTGTGGAAACCTTTGCGCTAGAGTGACTTGTGCCAAAAACTGCTTGCCCACTACACCGGACCGTTTATTGTTCTTGTACCGCCTGAGCACCGTCGAATACCGCATCTCATGCCTCACAGCTAGTGCGAGACGCTCTCGCAAGACAGAGGTCACGCACGTGGCTCGCGGGAAACCTTTCAGTCAGCGAGACGTTGGATGAAACACGTGACGCGCTTCGTCTGCAAGGGAGGAAATGTGACGTGGCGAATGTGCCGCATAGAAAAAGGAGGAAGAAGCGAAGGGAGACGAACGAGGAAGAAGATCTCTCTTGCATCCTGGTCCTGTAATGCTTGTTATCCGAAACGTGTACCAATAAACCGCCAAACGTCTACTTGAGGACGTAACAGTATTTTAAAGGATCCCCAGACAACGGAAGTTTTGTTTCAGACTTTTCTTGCAGTCATTTGTAGTTTTGCGCCTAGTAATGCCTATACAGTAAAATCTCGTTGTTTCAACTCGCTGATTCGGAATTTCAGTTAATTTAGCTGGGGCTTCCAGTCCTGGCTAAAACGTTCATTGTTACATGACTGAAAACTCTCGAATTCGAACAATTTCGCTGCGCTTCAGTTAATTCGAATGCCCAACTCGGTCATAGTCACGACGGGGAAGCAGCAGCGGATTCTGCTAGCCTAAACAACTTTGGAATCGGATTGCAGCCTTTCAGATTCAAAACTTCGTCCATGGGTAGTACATATCGGAGGCATTCAAAAAAAAAAAAACACATGTGCGGGTTTTAAACAACCAAAATGGAAGGCAGTGCATCGCTACTGTCATTAGCAATGGGCAACTTACGAATCTGCCTTTCCTTTTTTCTTGTGCGTCGAACACGTTTGTGTTGGTGACCGTTAAGTTGGATTGCTCACCTCTAGTGTGCTTTAAATTATTTATCTGTACGTGATCAGTGCCATCTACAGTCTTACTGTTTGCTGTTTTTTGAAAAGTTTGCTGGTTCTCATTTTGTTTTTATCGTCATGTGTGTTTTTTTGTGTGTGTGTGTGTGTGTTTGTGTTGTCTACTTAGTGCACGTGCGTGACCACCGAGTGAGCAACGCCACGCAGGCCCCCGGCGCCGCAGCCCGCAGTGCCACGCACCGAGGACCCACGCTAGAGACAACCGTTTGCGGCAACCGCCACGCTCAGAAAAGACTCGCTCAACTCTCGCCTGCCACCAAGGCTCACTTCCGTCAGGGGTCAATGCCGGCGCTACCGCATGATGATGATGACGATAGTGGTGCTCAACGCGAATACAACACCACCTATCGCCCGGTGGTCGTCACCCGAAATGCGGCTTTGGGGCGAGACACGTGCGCCACACGGCGCAAACAACTTTACAGGGGATGTCAGCACCCCCACAAAGTAAAGAGCACGTGACAGTTCTTCTGGCTGCTAACATGACCGGCACAGAGCGACTGCCGCTGCTGGTGATCGGGAAGGCTGTTTTAAGAATATTAAGCAGCTACCTGTCGACTACGGGTTCAACAGAAAGGCTTGGATGACCTCCGAACTCTTTCAAGCCTGGCTGCGTCAGCTCGACCTCCGCTTTGCGGCCAAGGCTCGGAAGGTGTTGTTCGTGCTCGACAACTGTAGTGCGCACACGAAGGTGTCCGGGACCGAGAACATTGAACTGCTATTCCTGCCTCCGAACACAACGGCTTCCCTGCAGCCGATGGACTAGGGAATTATACAGTTCGTAAAAAGCTGCTATCGACGGCAGGTACTCGAGCGGATGTTGCTCTGCATGGAGTCAGGCAAGCAGTACGAAATAATGCTTGCTAAGCGCAATCCTTATGCTAACTTACGTGTGAAACAACGCCCCGCCTGCAGTAGTCGCAAACTGCTTTAGGCATAGCGGCTTTGTGCACGACGATACTGATCCAGGGGTGGTGGCCGAAGAGGAAACCTGGCAAAACGGCTGCTATGTGAGCATCATGTCAACTTCTGTGCCCCTGGGCAATTACTTCGCAATTGACAGCGATGTTGCCGTGGCTGGCACAGTTACCGACAGCGATATCGTCGCCGAAGTCTTGGACGGCAAAGGGAAATCGGCTGACGAAGGACGTGAGTGACGCTGACGAGTATCCAGGCCACTCTAGGACGGAGGCTGCGCGTGCACTGGCCGTTTTGAAGGACATATGCATGCTTTCCTCAAACAGTGTGTGCGGACTAAGCCACCTGCAGGAACTTCGCAAAATTGGGACTTTGTCGCACATTGTGTCAGTGAAGCAAACTACGATCACCGACTTTTCTTGCGATAGCAATTGTATAGACACTCTTGGCTGAATTTTGCTGCCAGGCGTCAACGTGGGCATCGATGTCATGCACCTTATATGTATGCGTATCTTTATGAAAGCACAAGAAAAAAAAAATCAGAAAAAACACTCTGGCGTGTGGAATCTCTACGTCGTGAAAGCGAGGCGTTAATCACTTTGCCACCCCGGAGCACATCCTTCACCGTTCAAACGGCAAACTACTTACATCTACCTCGTACCGATGCTCACGAGCATCTCAAGGGGGTGGGGGGAGGGAGAATTGTGTTTTCAGAATTACCAGCAAATTGGCAGCAATGAGAGCGCGTCGCCACATCGCGCGAATCTCCTACGCGTACTTCGCCCAGCTTAGAGAACTTCCTCACGCGCCCTTATCTCACGGCGGCGAGGAGGGGAAGGTCGTACGCATTGGCTTGCCTCGGGTTTTACCTGGGACGATTTTGCTGTAGTTACGGGGCACACAAAGGTCACTCCAATCGTTGCAGTCTCCGTTTGCGAAAAGGGCGCACTTTTCAGACACTGCAAAGTAACAAACGTGACGCTTATTCGCGTGCGCTTGTACCTGTAAGTACGTTTTGTGCGTCATTTGTGCGTGAGGATCGCAGGGCATGTTTCAATCTGCTTTCCATTCTGCGCTTGACCTTTAAATTTGTTGCTATTGCGTTCATTGCTTCGCCTTTTCGGCAAAGCTGTCACTTTTTTTTAATAACTACAAGTCTCATGATGTAGGAGAGATTTTTCAAGTGTTTTGTTCGTGCTCGCGACAATTCGTATGCTCGGTTAATTCGGGCATTCTCTCCAATACCATGAAGGGGCTTTACTGTAC